TTAACCTAACCCTGCCATCCCACCACTAAACCATGTCCCTAAGCACCTCGTCTACCCGTCTTCTAAATACCTCCAGGGATGGGGACTCGACCACTTCCCTGGGCAGCCTGTTCCAGTGCTTGACAACCCTTTCGGTGAAGAAATTTTTCTTAATGTCCAATCTAAACCTCCCCTGATGCAATTTGAGGCCATTTCCGCTTGTCCTATTGCCTGTTACCTGGGAGAAGAGACCAATACCCACCTCACTACAGTCTCCTTTCAGGTAGTTGTAGAAGGCAATAAGGTCTCCCATCAGCCTCCTCTTCTCCAGGCTAGACAACCACAGTCCCCTCAGCTGCTCCTCATAAGCCTTGTGCTCCAGACCCCTCACCAGCTTTGTGGCTCTCCTCTGGACATGTTCCAGCAGCTCAAACGTCCCTCCTGTAGTGAGGGGCCCAAAACTGAACACAGTATTCAAGGTGTGGCCTCACCAGTGCCAAGTACAGGGTCACGATCACTTCCCTACTCCTGCTGGCCACACTATTCCTGATACAAGCCAGGATGCTGTTGGCCTTCTTGGCCACCTGGACACACTGCTGGCTCATATTCAGCCATCTGTCAACCATTACCCCCAGGTCCTTTACCACCAGCCAGCTCTCCAGCCACTCTTCCCAAGCCTGTAGCGTTGCATGGGGTTGTTGTGACCCAAGTGCAGGACCCGGCACTCAGCCTTGTTAAACCTCACACAATTGACCTTGGCCCATTGATCCAGCCTGTCTAGATCCCTCTGCAGAGTGACACTCATGCCCAATTTTATGTCATCCACAAATTTACTGAGGGTGCACTCAATCCCCTCATCCAGGTCATTGATAAAGATATTAAACAGAACTGGCCCCATTCCTATGCTGTAGCATCTCATTTCGTCCCTCAGCAGGGGTTACCTACTCCATTTTGGTTATTGGTGCTCTTCCTGGTGCTGTCTGTGAGGTGAGGGGGAGGTAAGGGCAGTTGTACACCATCAGGTGACAGACAGGCCAGCAAGTGACCTTCAGTCTCTGCCCCAGGTGAAGGCCAGCTGCATATTGGACACAATGAGTGTCCTCCCACCTTGCCGCCCCATGTTGGACATGACAGGCAGAGTAGCAGGGCTATTGCCATGCTCGCTCAAAATGCTCCTGGATGGGCTGGAGGTCGAGCCAGGCACCATCACTTGTGGTGGCCTAGCCAAGCAGCATCTCTGTGATGCCACAGGCTTCTGGAGTGACCTCCTTGCTCTGCCAGCTTCATGCATGCAGGTATCTCTGTGTACTGGGAGGGAGCAACATGGCTGCAGATGGCTGCTTCTATGAGCAGTGTCAGGATGGGGTGCTCAGCTTTATTCCGACACATCCTGGGGCCTCAAGTACCTGTGCACCATGCAGTCAAGACCTGGTGACTACTGGGAAGCACCTAAATGGAAAGGCACCAAAGCTAGCACAAACTCCAGACCCAAAGGATGCATAAAGACAGGGGTTGGGATTGTGTATTTTTGGGAGTGATGTCATGAAATGTGATGAGTGATGTCATGTTCTGTATTCTTGGGGACAGGACAGATGTTGCCCAAACTAATTGG